CAACAAGTAAGAAGAGGGAGGATTTGGACTTGAAACAACAGGGTAGAGGACAAGCGGTCTGAATCTGAAGGAAGCATCAAGCCCAGAAATGGCGCAATACTAGAATTTAGTCACGAAAGTGACGCAAATAACACAGACCACAAGTAGAGGCGGAGACTGTTAGCAGCCTTGGCTAGCTAGCAGCAGTCTAAAAGTGATCAACCTTTTAATTTTTTTATCAAAAGGAATCGGAATCGGAATCAATCAACAATAGTCAAGCAAAGGTACTCAATTACAATAAAGATCAAATGAACGGATGGGCTAAATATTTTGGAACACTTCTGAACAGGCAAGCCCACGAGGCTACTCAGATTTCCAGCTTTTAGAAATAGAACTGGATACAAACTGTGATATCATTTATAGAGGAAATTAGGAAATCTGTCAATCCTTTGAAGGAAGAAAAGGTAGCATGTTCAGATGATATCCCATCAGAAGTTATTTGGTCAAAATAAACATGTTAACGGAATTGCTACAGAGGCTATTTAGTAAAGTCTGGTACACAGATGAAGCACCAGCAGAATTGGAAAGAAGGCTGTCTTGAGAAATCACCTCCCCACACCACCCACCCCACCCACTAAAGTTTATCTACAGAAGTGTGAAAATTATAGAGAAATTATGTTTCTTTCAGTTTCTGAAGAAAATATTAATTAGGATTACTTTGAAAAGAATAAGAGATGCTATAGATTAAAAGCTGAGAGATGAACAAACAGGTTTTCGGCAAAAATATCCTGTACTGACAAGATAGCCACATTACTGATAATAATATAGTAAATCATTGAAGTAAATTCAACATTTTACATTGGATTCATAGAAGAAAAGACAAAAATCCATCACAGAATCATATCTTTAAGCAAAATTATCCTGGTATCACAAAACCCCCGTCAAAATTTGAAGAACAGTAACGGATGTCAGGGTTCCGGGTAGACAGAAGTTAATAAACATTAAAGTGAATATATTACTTTAGGTGAAAAGTTTCCCATAGCACAATAATGACTTAAAATACTTTGGCATTAAGTCCGCACTGATTGTCAAAGAACAGCAATAAATGGTATGTCATGTTAGACATGTGACAATAAATATACCCTTTCTCCATGCCTTCTTGCGTATGGGGAAACTTTGGTTAGATCTATAATTTATAGACCAATCGGCACTTTGTGGGCGATGTGGACAGCATCACACCAACCGCCTTTACTTCCCATACCTGGTACCCACACAAGGCTAGGTCGACCTGGCAGCCAATTTCCTTTTCTGGTAAACACCAAACCTCGTCAGAGCCTGAACTACGACCTTTTGACACAATATGCATCACATTATTGTCACAAATTGGGTTACAGTTATAACAGGATGGTCATAAACAGAATAATCATGCCAGGAAACAAGGAATATTCTAGCAATGACAAATCCGCATCATTTATTACAGAATAACCGTAGAAGCTGACGGCCTGGTTTTCTTTCGGCAAATAGCAATAAACCTTAAAATGTGTACACACAACGTTAGGTAAACTCGATGCTTCCATGACTGAGCTGGCATCGAATGAGTTACATCGTCTTTACGAATAGGCCTAATTATAAAAAAAAAAAAACCTCACAAGAACATCCTCTATGATGAATTTCAGATGAGTAGAAGATGTCGAGACCGGCCTCTACTACGATATAAAGATGTGTGCATGCTGGACATGAATGATACAGGCATTGAGGCGAATTCATCGGAAGAAATTACAATGGACCGCGCTGAGTGGAAAAAAGGAAGAGGGACAGGCAAATCAGGAAGGAATACGAATACTTAAAAACAAATGATCACAGAAAAGATGAGATCTAAGCATCTGAGAATAAGAACACTACATACATATGGTGGCTACAACGTTCCTGAAATCTCACGCTCTGATTGTGGAATAACGTGGGCGAGTCTTGCTGGCCACACTCGCCATCACCACGAGCTGTGATTCTCAATGCCTCATCAAGGCACAAACATACGCAATAAGAAAACGCCACAGCGGGATTTACCGATCATCAGTAGGTGGATCTAGATACTGTTTCAACAACTGTTTTGGTCCTATCATCCATATTACACTATCGTCTGCAAAGATGGAAATGAACCCAAAAAATGTGGGAGGAAAACTAACGTTATGCGGTCACTTAGCGATAGACGCGGTGGTGGTAGAAAACGATAAAATAGGCCTTAATTTAAATAATTAAAAGACAGAAATAATGGTGATTTCCAGTAAGGAGAACTCTACAAGGGAGCATGAGCAGCAGGGGTCCACCGATCATTAGTAGAAAGATCCCACGTCGACAATTGGTACAGTCCATTACTTCTTATACAATCTCGAAAGGTGGGGCGACCAGGGTCACGACTCGAGGCCTCGATCTCTCCTTGTTGCACTTATCAGACTTTCGGTCAGGTACAAGACGATATGTTGACTTTGCAACAGGCATTGTGAGATTGGTGTTATATTGTCGCTGCGGTAGAAAATATAACCGCCTACCTTTAAAAGTGACAAGCTTACGGTTGGTTCATCGGACAGACCTTAGACTTAGGCATTTGACAGAGAGACACTGGCAGACACTTCTCTGGCACTTTGGCTTTAGGGATAAGAAGCTCCTTTCCACTAGAAACTCGGACTAGTCTACCAAGGCCCATCCTCCACGACGTTTCGTTGCATTAAGAGCCAGCTCAAAGCCCTTTCTGTTGCTTCGCCCGGTTGTTTTAGTGATCGTTTACACTCGTTTCATCTCAATCCTAGCTGCTTTAGAACATTGTATGTGGAAGTAGAGATAAGACCTCTTGCGCCCACCTCGACGGCAAAGATGTTTACTGCAAACGCTCCGTCTCTCCTCAGACCGGCCACGAGCTCACCGTACCTTTCGAGCTTGTACAGGTTACGACTCCTACGGCACTGTCAGCTCTGCCAGGACGAGCTGGCGTTTTTCCGTAAAGTGCAGACCTATGTCTGGTCTCAGTCTGGTCTTGCTGATTGATTATAGGTACTTTTAAAAACCAGGCAGGTCGACAGCCAGTAACCAGTCCCTCGCACAGTCAAGTATTGATAGAGCGTATGCGACCTTTTTGACTTTGGAAATCTGCCCAGCCTTGAAGAAGGGCATTGGACTTAAATGTGGCGCTAAGTATATTGTCCCTGGCCTAGGGCTTTTCTGCACGAGGAAAATATGTGCTCGAGCGTCAGCTTAGCTCTGCATAGAGGAAGTGTCTGGTCGGTGGTCGCAGACCACTTGGCCGTGTTGGCACTAGAGAGTAATAAATCAAAAGCAGATCTTATGATAAAGTTCAGCCGCAGCGGGACCATTCGCCAGATCTCACCCCACGTGAGTATTTGTAGCAAGGCGCTCTCGAGGCCGATCCACTGGCCTTGCTGCGACTGCTGCGCGGCTTTTTTTTACGTACCCGAATCTCGTTTTCGGTGTTCCTTATCTGCCTATCAGCATGTCTCTGCGTTCTTTTGCTGAGGCTTTGGACTATCAACTAAATTTTCCATGCCCGGTTGTATGTAACCAATGACATCCTCTAATTTTAGGGCTTCCCGTGCAGATTCTATCGCACCTAGGACCTTCCACTTCGTAACTGTCTTTAGAGCCGGCTCGACAGCTGTTACTGTTGGGTCTAAATATTCGCGCAGCATCATAGCAAGTCTTACCTTGCCGACTTTAAACATGTCAGTTATCGACTTGAACCAAAGTGCAAACTTAGTCTGCTTGCAATAGAAAAAAAAAAGCGTAGTGCCTAAATGTATAATCAAAATCAAAGGCGTTATTTTAGGACAAGTACATAAATCTAAATATTTAGGCACATGGGTAATATAAGATGAAAGATGTGTCACAGAGATAAAGAATAGAATAGCACAGGGCCAAACTTCATTTTACAAAAGAAAGAATATTTTATGCCACAAATCCATGGCATGAGAGGTTGGGAAAATAATTCTCGTATGCTATATAGAGCCAGTTTTAACATACGCTTGTGAAGCCTGGACAGTTATTAAACAAGCCGAACACAATTTTTAGGGCATCGGAGATGTGGTCTCACTGAAGAATCCTTAGAATTCCTGGGACGGCAAAGAAGGGCACACCAGATGTTTTGAAAGAGACGAATGCTCGAAGACAAACATCAGAATGAGACCGCCATAATTGTTTAGTCATGTTATGAGAAGATGGGAAAATGGACCATGTGGTAACCACTGGAAAGATCTGTGGAGAGAGAGAGAGAGAGACAGGGGAAGTCAGCGTGAGAAAATTCTTGACAGACTTTTGTCATAGCATGGAGGGTATATCTACACACGAACTGTTACACGCAGCTGCAAATTGTGGAAAAGCATGATCGCCCACGCCAGTCGGCAAAGCACTTAATGATGATGATGATGATGATATGATGGTAACTTACTCCCTTATCATCAATGACGCTGATTGTTTTTCGTTTTAAGTCTCCTATATAGATATTTTCTCTTACTTTTTTCTTTTCATTTTTTTTCTTCTTTTGTCTTCTTTGTCTTCTTCTTCTTCTTCTTCTTCTTCTTCTTCTTCTTCTTCTTCTTCTTCTTCTTCTTCTTCTTCTTCTTCTTCTTCTTCTTCTTCTTCTTCTTCTTCTTCTTCTTCTTCTTCTTCTTCATCTTCTTCGTTCACCCGAAGAAATAACTGCGTTGTGCCCGTTTATAGCATGGCTGCGATATGTGTACCTTTCGGCCAAAACATTTGATTACTGCGGACATTCGTTGACCGGGTTAACCCTCCCTGTCTACATAGATATACAAATAGTATTTCCATATTTTAGACCAACAGTAGTCACACATTCATTCTTAAACATATACCATTCTCCCCCAATCGGGGTCGTGAATCAGTGTGCTGTTTTTATCTTTTGCAGAATTCTAACTAGCAGGCTTCTTCAGTTGGAACGTGAATACAGAACAATTTTTTAAATTATAGATTTAGAAGAAATTGTTATTTTTACGTACATGAACATTCCTCAGACACGACTCATCAAGCTGCTCCACCTTGTCAGGGACAAAACACAAAAACGGTTTCCAGACTTTGTGGTAAAAGTATCCAGTTGGTTCCGACAAATGCCAGGTAGATCTTGGAGACACTTTATTGCAGGGAACATTCGGGTCTGGTAGTCTTGTGAGACCAGACTTTGCTGTCAAGGTTGGAGAACATAATTGGAGAAAATTCATTTTAGTGAACAATTTACCAGACTTATAATTATGCATTCATGACAGTATACACGTTAGTGCAGGACAGCCAATCATATGATACCACAACACCTAGTATGATAATAGAGGTGGAGGCGGTCACTGTAGCTTTCCAGTAGCTGGAGAAAAAGATGCATACACGTGTTGTAGTTGTAAGAGACTCTGAAAGCATGCTGAGGAAGGTGAAGACATGGTTGCTTGGGGCGGAGTGGTAAGTTTTATTTGTAAAATGACTGGTGGTGAGCATACTTTGGAGCTTTTCTCCAGACCATACCGGTGTGGTGGGAAATGAACAGGCAGTCTGATTTGCTAGATCTACACCACTGGATGGTGAATTTATACATGACAAGGCAAGTGTGGTCAAGCAACGAAGTCGGAAGAGAAGCTAGATTATTATAGCCTGGAGAGAATGATGCACCTGGGTGTGATCAGAGGGTCTAGCCATCTCTTTGCACTCAAAGGAAAGACACGACGATCATATAACCAGGTGACGACCGGTACCATTAGTATTGGAACTCTGCACGGGCTGCTGAATATGAGGACAGAGAGTGCATCATAATGCCCCTAGAGCTGTGGTGTCAATTCATGTCTCAAATCACTCATCTGTTTATTAATTCCTACTTTATTTAATGCAACAAAATCATTTGTAAATTCCAGGAAAAATGTCTTTATTATTATGATTATGAAAAGATGGTAGGTGGCTTGTTTCTGCAGAATGTCAGCATTGTGCTGTTATTCAGTTATATGTCACATATGGTTTACATATTGAAATAATTTTAAAATAATATTAAATTTAAAAAATATTATAATTTAAAAAAACATATCTTGGTTTTAATGCTATATAATTTATGTTTCAATATTTTGTTAAAGTTTTTAAAAGTTCATGATGGCTTGTCAAAAAAAAAAAAAAAGTCAAAATTTCTTTCTTTGAATTTCCATGATTATATACATTACTATCTAAGATACATCAATCTGTTACTTTAATTCCTGTTTTTTCTAGTCTTATATCTGCTTAATCTGTTATTGGTGTCCTCACGACATTTTTCTCTTCATAATTTATATGTAATTCAACCTTTCTCCAATCGGTTTTTCTTTACATGTCACCGTTGATTTTACTAAGCAGATCCAAATCATAAGCATAAATCGAAATCTTCCAACTGTGTGTTCTCCGCCCAGTCAATACCAGCGTTTTCATCACATTTTTTCATCACCCAGCCGATGGTAATACCAAAGCGCCGGAATAATAAAATACATCCCTGCTTCATTCCGGTTTGAACTTCAAACCAATCACTTAAACCATCATTTGTTCGCACTGCTCACTCTGAAGCTTTATAACTGCCTTATAAATGTTTTTTTGTTCCAGTTGTATACCATATTATTCCAAAATTTTTCAAAGAGAAATTCTGTCTAAATTACCTAAAGATTTCTGAAAGTCGAAATTCAAAATAAGGGGCTGTCGTGTTTCCAAAAATTCTTTTCAAATAAGTCTCAGAGTGAATATTTGATCTAGCTGCTTCTTCCACCTTGAAAACCCGCTTATTCTTATTTTAGAATGTTGTCGACTACACATTTTATCCATTAGGAATTCCTGCACAAAAGGTTTTTGACATTACCGATAAGAGAGAAACTACTTCCCACTTGCTACAGTCAGTAAGATTATCTTCTTTTGGAATTTTAACTATTATTCCTTTCTTCGACCGATTTGGAATACTTACCACAGCCCATATTCTGTTAAGCATATTTTTAGTTCGGTGTATGGTTACACCATCTGCTGCCTTGAGCATTTCTGCACTAATATCATCATCACGTTATGCCTTATTACTTGCGAATGTTTTGTCATATACTTACTTGCTTTGATATTTAAGGTAATATTCCCGGCTAAGAAGTTGTTTCTGTGGAATACGAGATATTCTTATGATAAGACATTGCGAAGTTACTAGTTTTAAATGTAACATCATCCTAAATTAAATACGAAAAAATACCATTTCCTCTCCAGTTGCACATCAGTTGTATGAAGTTCATACTAGAGACAACATTGCAGATGTAGATAATCTATTTCAATAAAAAAAAAAAAAAAAAAAAAAAAAAAAAAAAGAAACAAGAGGAAGAAGTTGTATGGTAGCAGACATTTTATTTTATGGACCAGTCGGCACTGGGTGGCTGATGTGGCAGACTTTTGCTTGTCAGGACTTTTCCTGGTAGCCAGTTTAGACTACGGCGACCTGATAGCAAACATTTATTTTTAAAGGAATTCGAACCCAAGATTTTAGAGCCGGCTGGTGAGCTTCCAGTATGTGTACCTCAAGAAGAAGAATATATCCAAATCAAAATTCTGTCTGGAAGTCTTGCCCAAATGTAAAAATATATAACTCAGTAACCATTCGATGTACGTTGTTTCTGCCCTGGGGTACGCTCCCCACCGGGCCGTGGAGAAGATTCAAGGGAAGCATCGAGCAATTTTAAAAATGAGTGCATTTTTACTTGTAACAATCCGTTAAATGTATTTTTTTTCCTGTTCAATCATAAATAAACTATGTTTTAAACTATTTATAAAACAAAAAGCCAAGGATAATTATTATGATAAAACGTGTATTTAATTTTAGATGAGGAAACCTTTCCTCACTAAAAAAAAAAATAAAAAAATCTCGAGTTATTTTGTTGCGAAACAAAATGGGAGCGGGGTGCGCAGGGAGTCTTGTCATATAAATACTCAAGGGAAACGCAGTTTGAAAATTTTTAGAGATTACTTATGTAGAAGAAAAATATTCAATAGTCAAAGACGTCTATCTAATTAGGGTCCTTTGGGTTAGATTGAAGCTGCGAATCCAAACCATTGATGAAAATCTCTTTATTAAAGTGTTAACGACTGAAGAGGTACAATTATTTGCATTTACTCTACAGAGCATCTCAAACAAACTTGCATTTCTCAGCTTTAGGGTGGTTTCACTGGGACATTTCTTCTTCACTTTTCTTAGCAGTGACGTAATTGCGGTGTGTCTGTTTACAGCATAGCTGCGATATGCCTACATTTAACCGACATATCTGACTACATGTGACATTTGATTACCAGTTTGAAGATTCTTGGTTTATAGGACACTCTAAAGCCACATTTGTATAGTGGCCTCTTCATCATTTGATCAACAGATGTTGCCCTTCGAAGACCCATCAATGGCCAGCACAGGTCAGCTTTGAAATTATTTCTGTGTGTTACATTTTAGGATGTCCCCTCCTGGACTGCAGTCTATAGTATAGACATCTCAAGAATGAGCCTCAGACCGGCTCAAATCCAGGAAAACCCGTTCAACCGTACTGTCAAATAGCAATGTTATATTGGGGCACCACTCTACGCTTACGAAGCAATCTGTATTCCAGTTGTGTGTGTCTGTGATGGAATCTCTGGGAAAGGCAGGTGAAGAACATTCAAGTAGGCTACAAGCGCAGAGCTTTTACACTACGTTCTGATTGTAGACTCTTCTGCAGCACTTTGCTGCTAAACCTCACATCCTTGGCTAAGCCTTCCACTCATTAGAGACTGAATCCTTTCGGTATCTACAGGAACAGTCCGATGGCTAGAGATTTATAATCACCACGAAAAACGGATATCTAACGTCTTCATGGCGTAAAAATTCTCTCCTACCAATTAGTACCTGTCACATTTGTGTTCCTATAGTCTTTCACAGTCATATCATCAGATGGAAAATGTGGGACAGGGATTAAAAGTAGAATAGGTCAAGCGAAAGTTGCATTTCAGAAAATAAAATAAAACATAAAAAAATGCAACAAATCGTTGTCATTTAATGTTAGAAAGGGAGTGCTAAAATGTTGTACAGAACCTGTTCTGCTAAATGGCAGCGAATCTTGGAATGTCAATGAACAAATTTGGAAGAATTTGGAAGCAACAGAGATGTGGTTTCTGAGACAAATGTAAAGAATACTTTAGACGGCCAGAGTAAATAAGAACGATAGCTTGAAAAAAGCTAATGAAAGTAGATCTCTAAAAGAAAAAAAAGAAAACAATAAGAAAGAGGCAAATACTGTTCTTTGGCCACATAATGAGAAGAGAGACATTGGAGAACATCGTGACAGCTGGAAAGATCAGTGGAAAAAGGGGCAGAGGCAGACCAAAAGAGATGATATTGGATGGGCTGAAACAATGACATGGAGGGGTATCATCAAGAAAGCTGTTCCAGGCAACCAGGTATCGTGATCTGTGAAGACGTATAAGCGCCTACACCAGTTGGCAGAACACATGATGATGATGATGATAATCTGTTCAGAAATTCGTGAACATGATTGTGTTTTAATATTTTAGAAACTAACATTATTCCGTTAGTCGTCCCCTTGTGGGATGCAATATTTTGTTATTTTGAAACTTAACCAAGGCCGGGGGCCGTAATGTCACCTCACGGTTGAACGCGGTTTCGGGACCTCTCAACTGGTGATCCTCATCAGCTGGGTGGCACTTTGTGTTTATCGCTGTGTGTGATGTCCTGGTGGGGTAAAACTTAGTTACTTACTTGGAATCTAATCCACCGACTGTAATGACATTTGGTATATTCTCTCCATGCATCCATGACGTAAATGAACTTTTATTCACTAATGTAGCTTAGTTTGTTCCTTGCGATGTGTATTTTTATCATGAAACCGTCTTGGTAGAGTTAAGGAAGGTTACTTTCATTAACAGTAGGAACTAATGTTAATAAGCACAATACAGGGGTTAAACACTGGGTCAAAGAACAATCGTATAATTTTACGATTTTCTTGTGCAAATTCATACTATCTATTAGTGAATGGGGACGGGGGGAGGGGGAAGTAAGGGGGGGGGGCGTCGTTCAAGATTATTTAGCAAAAAAGAGTATTCACAAATTAGCTGAGTTATTGTGTCATATATGTATCGCATTAAAACGGTCATAGACATCAGTTGTGTAATGAGTTGGAGGCGCACAGTTATAACTGTGCAGAGGTTACCGTTTTACTGTACCAACACTTCCGCCGGGGATATGAGATGTGCCGTTTATATTGTGATATTCGTTACCCAGAGAAACGAATCAAATTTTCGCTTGCTCTATGTATTTACTTGAACCTGAAATTACCACATTTACTGTAAAATCTAAAACTGCATTCTACTTATTTATAATATTTCGAGAAAGATCAAAGAAACTGGGTGGTCAGCAAATTCCTGAGCATCAGTGGACTAAAGAATAGAACTATTTTCGCGTCATGAATATTCAAAGACTGAATGCAGACAATCATTGCGATCTAACTAGCAGACTTCGGGAAAAAAAAATAATGATTAAACTATAGAATCTAGTACGGGGTTGGGCTTAGTAAGGCCACAGGCCAGGAAAGACAATCACGAGGTTACCATGACGGTTGTAGAACCCGCGATGAAGTGAGCGCTGCAAAGGTACGGCGGGCTAATTAAATGGTCGGCAAGAATAGTAGCTATTGTTTTAGCCGCCAAATGTATGCAACACGATTTGAAAAACAAATTGTTAAAGAAATGTAGCCGAAATAGGTACACAATTGTGTATTTTCTTTGTCCCTGATGTTTTAAATGGAAGTAAATAAATGCCTGGTAACGGTGTCAGTGCTTCTCGCAAATTTGATGGACCCATGAATGTATAAAGCACCAGAGATTCAATGGATGATGCGGTCTGAGCTCACATCATATGCTGTTACTTCCAGTTTTAGTTCCTTCTGTCTATGTTAGGCTTGGATCCCTTTGTAAATTGTATTAATTTGTCTTGACATGGATTTGAACCGAAGACCTTTAGAATGACTTTGAAGAATATTGCCATGCGCAGCGATGCTCATAATGTAATTCAAATCCTGGCTCTAGAATCTAAAAGAAGCCATTCTATAAGGATCTGTTCCGCTCCTCTTGTCGTATTCGGAACAGTGTATAGTGCTATAAATATATGACATAGATCAAAAGGCACAAAATTGGGGTGATGGAATCAGCAGTCACGCTGACTATCTTTACTTAGAAGGACTTTTTTTGGGGGGCCATCCATTTTAGGCTGTCGGCTCTGCGGCTAAGTCGATGCGAACGCTTCGTAATGCCCGGTTCGATCCCAGCTGTGGGCCATGCGCCTTGCGTTGGTTTCGATAGTGGTATCAAGAAAGCCGACGGTCCAGGAGTAATGGAAAACTAATGGACGTAAATTTGCCTAGAAAAAAAAACCACACAACAGCCAGGGGCTGTTGGGGTTGGATCTGCAACGTCCTGTAAAGGATACGCAACTAACCACATTTTAGACTGGGTTGACCTGGGAGCTAAGTAAATATTTAAAAAAATTCTGACTACACGAAATTCAAACCCAATATACGGCAATTCTACAATATTTATCGTACTTACTGACTGGTCCCTTGTTTTAGCAATCCATCTTCTGCTGGGCTGACTGGCATAGCAATGTCCAGTCTGGAATAACTGATACTTTTATAATCTGAACAATTGAGTTCCCGTTTGCTGGGGCGACCACAAAACCAAGGGGAGCCGTTTTCCAACGTCAGATTACATAACTCGGACTTTTGATGGCCAGGAACAACAGGGAACGGACTACAAGGAACACTTTCATTGGCCTGTATGATAAACATGATATTCAGTTACTTGTCATCAGTATATACAAATAAGCCTACTAACTGGTGTGGCATTTGGTATTTATTGTCAAATGGGGTATTAAACAACATTTTATGTCATTTTCACTTGCACATACATCAATCATTTTCACTGGCACCTTTCCGTATTTCTTGACGATAGTGTGATATTGCTCTATGAAGAGGCATGAGACTCACAGAACATGGCGATGGCGTGTGAGATTAGCAAGACCCGCCCGTGTCCCCCCCCCCCCCAAAAAAAAAATTTTGATAGCATGGGGTTACAGGACCATAGTTGTCGACATTTGTGTTTAATCCGTTTCTTTTTAGACGTTCAGCTCTTATCCTTTCTGCAATCATTTCTTCCTTCAGTCGCATTCCCTTTCTGATATGCCATTTCTACACAACACGGTCAATGGCATTTTGTTCCCATGCGTCCACCTCAATACCTGTTTCATTCATGTCCCGCTTGCACACATCTTTATATTGTAGTAGAGGTCGGCCTCCACATCTCCCTCCTGTCTTTTATTCACCATAAAGGATGTCTTTAGGGACTCTGCCAACCTCCATTCTCCAGGTTTGACCTAGCCACCTTACCCTTCGTATACTTGCACACTAACTCATCGCTTCTTGGTTGACATTTTTGGCTGTGATGGTCACAGAAGAAAGCAAATTCTTATATATATATATATATATATATATATATATATATATATATATATATATATATATACCTCTCCTTGTGGGATGCAGTTTTTCGTTATTTTGAAGCCCCAACCCTGGCTATTGCCAGGGGCTGCGATATAGCCCCGCCATAAATGTGGTCTAATGGCTGAACGCTGTTTTCCGGGACCTCTCCACGGGTGATCCTCGTCCACGTGGTGGCACTTTGTGTCATCGGGTGTTTATCGCTTGTGTGATGTCCTGGTGGGGTACAATTTACTACTACTACTGTAATGGTGTAACGTCAACACCGAGTTCCGGCTAAGAGAGTGGTCTTTGTGGCTAAATGTAAATGATCTATAGAGCACAACAGCTGTTAGACAGTACGTAGCCCGGGACATATTCAAGCTCATTCTTTATTCATGATAATTATTGTTTTTTACCCTGTTATTTTAACTTTATTTTTTCTTCTTCCGATCACCGGCTGCAAACTCATGCAGAGTTTTTTAGTTGTTATTCGGCTTCAAGACAGAGATGGGAAAAGTATGGAGACATATTGTAGAACACAGAACAAGAAAGGTATAACCAGTTTACTTACCAACTACATTTTGTTTCCAAATAATTCCTAATTTTTTGAAATAAACACTTGGACAACTTATGATTCCATAGAAGCAGTATAATAAACTGACTGACATATTTGATCTACAGAAGGAAACAGAGAGATAGACAACAGCAAACTCCATAGCTTTAGTTACCGTACTGGAGATATATCACATATATCACCATGACGCCTCTAAATTAGCACAGTGTTTCGCTGCAGAAACAAGTGCACTTTGATGAATGAACAACTCGACATCCTTGCAGGTTGTCGATTTGGTCAGTCAATTTTTATCATTGTGCGTATATATTTATATTATATAAATATATGTATACGTTTATCTAAGAGCAGAACTGATCAGACTTTAAGAACCTACCAATAAAAAAATTTATTATATATATATATATATATATATATATATATATATATATATATATATATATATACGTGTGTGTGTCTGTGTGTGTGTGCTCACATGCTAGTGTATTAATCACTAATCCATGGAGGTTATTTCTTTTATGTAACTAGGGTACAACGGAATCCGCCTTGGCGTAACGACTAGACGCTAGCCTGCGGATCCGAGAGTCAGGGGTTCAGGTCGTGAATGGGTCGGACATTTTTTTCAAAAATTGCCCGGGTTTATAGGTCGATCCATCCTTTAAAAAAAAGTACCAAGTAAAACTCTGGGGAGTGAAATTAGTTCGGGCCTTTTTGACTACATTATCCACCGAGTGCAGCTTGGTCTATAAAAAATTTAGGTCTAGCCCTACATTCGCAATTCACCTAAAGGCGTGGAAAAGTGGACCTAAATCCCCAGTACGTCCGAAGGCTTGGAAAGGGTCCTTTATTTTTAAAGTTTAAGGTTTTCAACAACGGATCAACATTAAAGCACACGGGTAGTAACCTATTATTGCTCAGTTCTTCTTCTAACTCGAGTCAGTGTCCAAAGAATCTCAGCTCAGTGCACAAGCTCTGTAGCACCGGCGAGGATCCTGAAATACTTTGGATAGATTTTTAACTCAAAAATTTTGCCCTGGCAGCACCGTTAAGAAACTCTTTTCGATTTCCAACTGCCAAGAGATTTTTTTACGTGCACAACAATGCACATGGGCGTCCGATCTCACTACCCAGAGAGCAAAGGAATTACTAGAAGTCAAAGTCCATGTTGAAAAATCCCCTTACCTGGGATTGAACCCGGAACCTCTAGCACTCGAGGCGGATACCATGCCTCGAGACCACTCAGGTTCCCTTTATGTTTTCTTGACCAACAGTTAAGAATTCTTACCTGAGAATTTGAATATGCTCCAAAAAAGGGAAATGAACTTTTCAAAGCTCTGTGTACGTAAGCCAGTGCTCTAAAAAACTCTCTGGACTGTCTTAAAATGGCCATAACTCTGTGGATTGGAACACAAACGATGTTTTGACACGCATATTTAATCACAGTGATGAAGCGACAAGACGTTCTACTGTGTAACGTGGGTTCAGGCACTGACCCCTGACTTTAGTGGGTCCCAGACAAATGTTTACCATATCAGTTGAAATATTGGTCTAGGTCTATTTGCCAAATTGGCCTCACAGCATGGACAAAAGTCCTTTACTTACCCTTACTCTTTGATGAAATCACTGCCAAATGTTAGGCTTTCGAATAGGTAGTTGAATACTTATTGTAATGGGAGCAGCATTAGCTCAGTGGCTAGACGTTCATCTGCTTGTAGAAGCTATTTTGTTTAAATTTGCACCTGACGGAATTAAAGACAGACTGTTCACGTTGTCTACCAAGCTTACATTGATTAAAATGGGTGCCAGGTAATGTCTTAGGAAATGAAGGTGGTCGGCGTGATGTGAACTACAGCACAGATCGAATGCCTATTGGTTTATAATTAAGTCTAGTATTGTAAGTTCCATTCGCCATTGGCGTAAAAAGGGTCTGTTATTTCATAATAATTTTAATAATGATAATTTAAATCTGACAAACGTTTGAGAATTTTACAATGACGGAGATAGTATTTTAAACTCTTTTTTTTTTCAGAACTGCCCTAGAGGGCTGCGTGGTCTCAGTTCATCGTGTCCGCCTCGAATGCTAGAGGTTCTGGGTTCAATCCCCGGTGAGGGCTGGGATTTCTTCACGTAGACTTAGACTTCTAGTAAGTCCCCCTGGTCTCTGGGTAGTAGGATCGGACGCCCGTGCGCATTGTTACGCGCGTAAAAAATCCTTAGGCAGTTGGAAATCGAAAAGAGTAGCCTTTACGGCGCTATCCGGGCAAAAAAATTTGGAGTTAAAAAATCTACTGAAAGTATTTCACGATTCTCGCTGGTGCTACAGAGCATGTGCACTGTGCTGAGCATCTTCGGACTCAAGACGTGGTTAGACCTCGCCAACGTCAATGGGTCGGTACCATTTAAGCTACTGGGGCATGACCTTCGCATGTTCCACGTACCGACAGAAATCACCGCACCATCGAGCACTATTTCCCAGAGTTCGCCATACGCTTCTCTACCCTTACGTTTACAACAAGGCGGACTAAGCTCCAGGTTCAGATAGCAATGGGTTTAACGATTTCTACCATACTGTTCGTGTTGGCTGTGCAGGTTATGTTGGATGAGGCTGTCGGCCAAGACTTTCAAACTGGGGATCACTAGATACTACAGCTGCATGCATTTATGGATGATCCAACGATCATGACGTTTAGCAAAGACCATGCCCGCGTTATTCTGAAAAGACTAGATTGCGTGGCTGACTGGTGTGGCGTAGAATTCAAGTTTCTGAACTCCATAAAAGAGTTAATCTTAATCCATCAATGTAAATTTGCGGCAGTCACACTCATGGTGACGTCTATTGCTACTGGGTGGTCACAAGGATTGAAACAAACGTAGTGTGTAAGGTGACACTACATGTACCCACCTCATGTAATGGTAGCCTAATATCATAACTTTGCTACAGTCTGTCTGTCTGTCTGTCCTGTCGGTTTGTCCTGTCTATCTGTCTGTCTGTCCTGTCGGTCTGTCCTATCTGTCTGTCCTGTCTGTACTGTCGGTCTGTCCTGTCTGTCTGTCATGTCTGTCATGTCTGTCCTGTCTGTCTGTCATGTCTGTCCTGTCTGTCTGTCTGTCCTGTCTGTATGTCCTGTCTGTCTGTCCTGTTGTCTGTCTGTCTGTCTGTCTGTCTGTCTGTCTGTCTGTCTGTCTGTCCTGTCCTGTCCTGTCTGTCTGTCTGTCTGTCTGTCTGTCTGTCTGTCTGTCTGTCTGTCTGTCTGTCTGTCTGTCTGTCTGTCTGTCTGTCTGTCTGTCTGTCTGTCTGTCTGTCTGTCTGTCTGTCTGTCTGTCTGTCTGTCTGTCTGTCTGTCTGTCTGTCTGTCTGTCTGTCTGTCTGTCTGTCTGTCTGTCTGTCTGTCTGTCTGTCTGTCTGTCTGTCTGTCTGTCTGTCTGTCTGTCTGTCTGTCTGTCTGTCTGTCTGTCTGTCTGTCTGTCTGTCTGTATGTATGTATGTATGTATGTATGTATGTAATGTATGTATGTATGCAATGTATGCATGTCCTGTATGTATGTAATGTATGTATGTATGCAATGTATGCATGTCTTGTTTGTATGTATGTAAGTATGTATGTAATGTATGTATGTATGCAATGTATGCATGTCATGTTTGTATGTATGTATGTATATATGTATATATGTATGTATGTATGCATCTATGTATATGTGTATGTATGTATATATGTATGCTTGTGTGTATGTGTTTCAG